AAAAAGTGTACTCTGTTAGTTTCTTAGTAATATCGTAAAAAAAAAAACCCACATAGTTGAGTTGATGTTATCCTTACTCTTCCATTCTATTTACCAATTACCCCAGGTAGATATGGCTGTCTCAGATAATCTTCAATGAATTTTTTCTTTTCCTCTTTTTGAGACAAGGTCTCTGAATGCAATAGTGTGTTTGTGGCTCACTATCGCTTCAGCCCTCTGGGCTGAAGTGATCCTCTTATCTCAGCCTCCCGAGTAGCTGGGACTACAGGCATGTGCCACCACCCTGGGCTAATTTTTGTATTTTTTGAAGAGGGGGTTTTGCCATGTTGCCCAGGCTGGTCTCAAACTCTTGGACTCAAGCAGTCCACCCACCTAGGCCTCCTGTGCTGGGATTATAGGCGTGAACGCTCAGCCACTCTTCAATAAATTTTAGCTTGCAGTTACTAAACAGCATTTCTGCAACATTTCAGGTTCTCTTAGAGTGGACACTGTACATCATTACCCATTTTTTTTTTCCCTCAAGACAGTCTTACTCTGTCATCCCGACTGAGGTACAGTAACACAATCATAGCTCACTGCGGCCTTCAACTCCTGGGCTCAAATGGTCCTCCTCTCTTGGCCTACTGAGTGGTCGAAACTACATGCACAGGCCACTGCACCTGGCTAATTAAAAACATTTTTGGGGGGACGCTGGGTATAGTGGCTCATGTCTATAATCCCAGCACTTTGGGACGCAGAGGCAGGTGGATTACCTGAGGTCAGGAGTTTGAGACCAGCCTGGCCAACACGGTGAAACCCTGTCTCTACTAAAAATACAAAAATTGGCTGGGTGTGGTGGCATATGCCTGTAGTCCCAGCTACTTGGGAGTCTGAGGCAGGAGAATCATTGAACCTGGGAGGTGGAGGTTGCAGTGAGTTGAGATCGTGCCAGTACACTCCAGCCTGGGTGACAGAGCGAGACTCTGTCTCAACAACAAATGTTGTTTTTTCTTTTTTGTAGTGATATAATCTTGCTATATTGTCCAGGTTGGTCTTGAATCCTGGGCTCTAGTGATCCTCCCACCTTGTCCTCCCAAAGTGCTAGGATTACAGACTTGAGCCGCTGTGCTTATCATCTAATATAAGGCGCATTTCTTAAAACTCTTGATCTTGGTTTTGGTATTGCTTAGTTATCTGGATTTTCAGAGGTGGTGGGCTAATTAGGCAGCTGTCTCTCCATTATTGTACCAGGCACATATGACAATGATTGTTGTTATTTTTGAGACGGAGTCTACCTCTGTCACCAGGCTGGTGTGCAGTGGCGCAATCTCGGCTCACTGCAGTCTCAGCCTTCCGGGTTCAAGCAATTCTCCTGCCTCAGCCCCCCGAGTAGCTGGAATTACAGGTGCATCCCACCATGCCCGGCTAATTTTTGTACTTTCAGTAGAGACAGGGTTTCATCATGTTGGCCAGGATGGTCTTGACCTCTTGACCTTGTGATCTGCCTGCCCCAGCCTCCCAAAGTGCTGGTATTACAGGCATGAGCCACTATGCCTGGTGACAGTGATGATTTTTTATGGCAGTTTTTTGTTTATTTTTGAAATCAGCCTGGACATTTAAATATATTATGCCAGTACATTAGTTACATGAGGATTAACTAAGGTAATGTAAGGTTATGGGCTGTTTAGTTGTAGTACTAAAACAAGCATGGATTTTTGAATGTGAATATTTTAGAGGAAATATTGAAATTACTTAGAGTAGTCCTGGATATATGTTCATTTACATGCTCATTTTCATTTCCAATAGCATGAGCAATAACTTACTTATATTTCATTCCTGAGAAACTAAAAGAAGCTGCCTAAGGAGTATGAAAATTGCCATTACGTCTGTATTGTCTACTTTTTGGATGCTTACATGATTATAGATCGCTGCGCTTCCACACATTTTGGGCTGCTGTCAGGTTGTAAGTAATCAGTATACAAACGAAATTTAAAAATTTAAGCAAGATAATTTTATATTACTTGGGTCAGGGAAAAATGCAGTTGCTGAAGGTTTCATAGCTAAATATAAGCAATTTTGCTTTTTATACTTTTTTGGATTATATCGTCTTTTCCCTTTTAGTAATAGAAGTAATACAGGTAGGAATTAACTTAGCACTTCCAAATTAATGGTAATATTAGACATGTGTACACAAGCACAGGATTAAGTTAAATAGAAATATGTCTCATCCATGTTTAATGTGGCTGACCAGCCCAATTGATTAGCTAATTTTATTGCTGTGTTAGTGTTAAAATTGTAAATACAGTTGTTCATTGTTAAAATAAGTGAGTAGGATTAAAATAGAGAATTGATAAAAGTAAAGCCTTAAAAACCTTTTAGCTAAAGTAGCAGGCTTCAAGTGAAATTCAGTTTTGGTCTCCTTTACAGGAATAGCTATTCACAGTCAGACAGAACCACTTATCACGTTTTGCAGTATCTCCTGAGGAAGTCAGAATCTGAGCCAGCATGAAGACGGAATCTTGTCTTCGATCTGATTTGCAAACCGTACTTTTATTCTAATCATGTGCAAGGTGGAGGTAATAGCGTGGGAACTAAAATCTTAGTAAGTGTGGTTTTTATTTTAGCTATTAAGTAGTATACTTTTTAAAAAATAAAATTTAAATTTATTTCACCACCTATCATAAGTAGTATACTTTCTTATAGTGATTTTTTTTCTTCTTAGCAGAGTTCACACTATGAATGGGGTGTGGACTTGGCAGTCTGGAATATATTTCAGTATACTTCAAAAGTGAAAGATTTAGGCTGGGCGCTGTAGCTCACGCCTGTAATCCCAGCACTTTGGGAGGCCGAGGAGGGTGGATCATGAGGTCAGGAGTTCAAGACCAGCCTGGCAAGGATGCTGAAACTCCATCTTTACTAAAAATAAAAAAATTAGCTGAGCATGGTGGCACGCACCTGTAATCCCAGCTATTCGGACGGCAGACGCAGGAGAATCACTTGAAGAGGTTGCAGTGAGCTGAGATTGTACCACTGCACTTCAGCCTGGGTGACAGAGCAAAGACTCTGTCTCAAAAAAAAAAAAAAAAGTGAAAGATTTAACCTCTCTAGATTCGGGAAAAATCCCTGAGAAAGAGAGAGAAAAGCTTCTATACTCTGTCTAGGATTTCTTTCTCTTTCTTGGTGAAAAATAGGTGTTGGGATGTTACTGAGTTATAAGAAGAGTGGCCAGGGTCTAAATTCAAGCCATTTAAAAAGTCATTAAATGTTCTACATAAGTTGCTTCATTTATCAATTAGTTGACATTGAATCTTGAAGTCTTCATTATGGTGTAGTGTTAGCCCATTGTTGAATCCTAGGAACCTTTTAAATAGTGAATATATTTTAAATATGAATTGGATTTTGAGTATATTTTAAGTATTCAAAATTTAAAACATTTTAATTACAAACATTCACAATGATATTGGAATGATTATGCTACTAGTTATTTTCAGTGACCTTCCATGGATTTAATTTTCCCAAGTACAGCCTTCTTTTTGTGTTCTAGATAGAACTAGATTTTGAGGCTACAGGATATCAAGGAGCTATCTATTTAATGTTACTTTGTTAATTGTAGCCATTACTTCTCGACATCTTTCTTTACTACCTGTGCTAATTAATTAAGAACAGTGGATAATTAGCATTTTAAGCTGCCTTTCTCTCTTAGCAAGAATGATAGAATTGATGTTTGATCTGTATTTATGAATCATAATCTATGTTTTTCATAATTTGAGAATGGTTATGTGCTTAAGCTATTGTTTACTTTGCGTTGTTTCCTCTACCTTTGACTCATTATAAGCTATGTTACTTTTGTAAATTGATATGATGGCTTCCCTGAAATTAAACATTTCTATTAGTGGCTTCCCTTTAATCTTCATCTTTCTTAGATCAAACCTCCTTCTATCTCCTGCCTATCTCTTTTGCATTCCAAAGTTCAATTTTATTAAATTCCAAGGTCTAAGATTTTTTCTTTGGGAATTTATCTCGTGTTTCTATGGAAATCCAGAAAGAAAATTAGAATAATTCAATGCTGAAATGTTACATGCATCTTTTGAGAAATTTATATTTTGTAGGTTGAAGGGTATGCTTTTTGGGGAGCATATTTTTGGAAGTGGAATGTAGTTATCTTAATAACCGTGTCCTAATTATTTATAGCTTCCTGCCTGACACAACTCACTTCGAGGAGTGCACAATGTCAGAACGTGGAATTAAGTGGGCTTGTGAATATTGTACGTATGAAAACTGGCCATCTGCAATCAAGTGTACTATGTGTCGTGCCCAAAGACCTAGTGGAACAATTATTACGGAAGATCCATTTAAAAGTGGTTCAAGTGATGTTGGTAGAGATTGGGATCCTTCCAGCACCGAAGGAGGAAGTAGTCCTTTGATATGTCCAGACTCGAGTGCAAGACCAAGGGTTAAATCTTCATATAGCGTGGAAAATGCAAATAAATGGTCATGCCACATGTGTACATATTTGAACTGGCCAAGAGCAATCAGATGTACCCAGTGCTTATCCCAACGTAGGACCAGGAGTCCTACAGAATCTCCTCAGTCCTCAGGATCTGGCTCAAGACCAGTTGCTTTTTCTGTTGATCCTTGTGAGGAATACAATGATAGAAATAAACTGAACGCTAGGACACAGCACTGGACTTGCTCTGTTTGCACATATGAAAACTGGGCCAAGGCTAAAAGATGTGTTGTTTGTGATCATCCCAGACCTAATAACATTGAAGCAATAGAGTTGGCAGAGACTGAAGAGGCTTCTTCAATAATAAATGAGCAAGACAGAGCTCGATGGAGGGGAAGTTGCAGTAGTGGTAATAGCCAAAGGAGATCACCTCCTGCTACGAAGCGGGACTCTGAAGTGAAAATGGATTTTCAGAGGATTGAATTGGCTGGTGCTGTCGGCAGCAAGGAGGAACTTGAAGTAGATTTCAAAAAACTAAAGCAAATTAAAAACAGGATGAAAAAGACTGATTGGCTATTCCTCAGTGCTTGTGTGGGTAAGTTTCTGTATTCTGCATTTTTTTGAATGGGATGGGAAAAGATAAAAATGATATAAGAAGAGCTGAGTGTGCTGACACATGTCTGTTTTAGCTACTTGCTTGAGACCAGCAGTTTGAGGCTGTAGTATGCCATGCTCAGCCTGTGAGTAGCAACTGCACTCTAGCTTGGGCAGCATAGTGAGACTCTGCTTCAAAAATATATATGATGTGCAAGGTCAGTATTTAGCATCTAATTCATTCAACATGATAGTTGTATTTTCAAGTATGCATACATAAAAATTTGTGTATTTGTGATCTTGTCATAACTTTGTGCTAAATTGCCCACAATTAATTGTGTTTATGTCTCTCCATTACTGGGGGCAGGGGAAACTTTTAAGTTAAAGCAAAGTTTTTACACATCCATAGTAAGATGTATACCTGGACTTTAAAACTGCTACTCTGTTTATCGTAACAAGATGTAACTGAGGAACACCAGCTGCTGTTTCCAAGTATTTGTAAACAGTGTGAGCATCTTGTGATGATCGAAGCTTTAGTCAGATGTTAAAAATACCACAAAAATGTGTGACTCCAAGAAGTTGGACAAACATAATAATGACCTTGAAAATACTGGTGTTACTTTAACATGAGTGTCATGTAGTAAATATTTGCAAAATTTATGGAACTGATTACATGTAGCCAGCTGATTCCATACTTCAAGTTATGGTTCTTATGTTTTGTGACATTTTCCTCAGGAAATGCTGTTACAGGACAGAGACAGAGGAGTGCAGAGTTTTCTTCAGTTATTGACCTCATGAGTTAATTGTGATGTAATTCACAAAAGCAGTGACTTGAGTCTTCAGTATTTTTTTGAGTAGATTAGATGTGGATTTTTATTAAATTATTTGGATGGGCTGCTTACTTTGACATTTGGTTTTATAAGGGAAATTTTGAATGATTACTAAGGCTAAACTTTGTGTGGAACAATAGCTGAGCCTTAACTATAAACTTAGCTGTAGTTTTCCCCTTAGTACCAGTTTCTTTCATTTATCCCTCTGGGTACAGCCCAAGAATATGGAAGGTTTAGCTGTATGAACCTCCCGTGAGTCCTAAGAATTGATTTCAAGAAATCTTGAGTTTTTAAAATTAAATTATATATATGTATATATAATATGTTATATAAATTTCTTCCCCCACCATGAGATTTCACCATTCTGTCACCCAGGCTAGAGGGCAGTGGTTGCTCACTGCAGCCTCAACCTCCTGGGGTCAAGTGAACCTGCCACCTCAGCCTCCCCAGTAGCTGGGACTATAGGCATTTTACCACTATACCCAGCTATTGTTTTTAACTATTATTTGTAGAGATGGGCGTCTCCCTATGTGGCCCAGGCTGGTCTTGAACACCTGGGCTCAAGCGATCTTCCCACCTCAGCCTCCTAAAGTGTTGGGATTATAGGCATAATCTGCTGTGCCCAGCTGAAATCCTGAGTATTCAATTTTAACTTTGTTCTGGCAAAAAAGAATATCTCAGCAGATGAACCCTTCTGACCTCCAGACGTAGTAGGCATTTGGCAATGCTTACTTCCAGTTTCCTCCCATCCGAGGATGAGGGATGAAAACACCAAGCCATCTTCTGCTGTCTCTGTTGTCCCATTTTATTCTACTGATTTTTCTGCTCCAAATTGAGGGACAACATAGGGTATGATTGTCAGTTTTAAAAATTTAAACGGGAGATACAAAAGGATTTTATTATTAGTTTCCTTATTGAGATCAAATTCATTTAACATAACTATTCAGTTTTGAAAGTGAACAACTTGTTTGGCATTTAGTGCATTCACATTGTGTAACCACTACCTCTGTGTTGTTCCAAAACATTTTCATCATTCCAAAAGGCAACTATGTACCCATTAAGCAGTTACTGCCCCCTACCCCTACCGTGCAACCCTTGATAACCATCAGTCTGCTTTTGGTGTCTGTGGATTTACCTATTTTGGATATTCATATAAATAAAATCTTTACATATCTATGAGCTTTGATGTTGGGTGTGATTGTCTTTTAATTGCTTATATGCCTTTGAAACACTCTTAAAATCATTTTTTTGCAGGGAATAGTGTACTGTGAATACTTGGACTACAAGATGGTGTACATGCAGGTTTACAGATGAAAATGAACTAACCTTCATCATGACGATGCTTAACCTTTTTTGGGGTCATAGAATCCTTTAGGAATCAGGGTTTCACTTCAGCCCCCGGTTGCTTCAAATCGGTGGATCTCAGGATAAGAACACCTGATGTGAAATATTTTCTCTCCTTGAAACACACGAGTTTGATGAATCATGTTTGTCTTTATGACATTATTCCTTCTTCGTCCTGCCTTTTTCTACATATCCTTACTTCTTTTGACTAGATGACTAGCCATCTTTGTACCTCTTTGCATTTTATTTGTTGAGACAGAGTTGTGCTCTGTCACTCAGGCCGGAGGGCAGTGGTGCAGTCAAAGCTGCAGTGAACCTTGACGTGAGCCAGTCATGGCTCACTGCAACCTTGACTTCTGCAGCTCAAGCTATGCTCCCACCTCAGCCTCCCGAGTAGCTGGGACTACAGGCACATACCACCATGCCTGGCTAATTTTTGTATTTTTTCTTTTTTTTGTAGAGACAGGGTTTCATCTTGTTACCCAGGCTGGTCTGAAACTCCTGGGCTCAAGTGATCCACCCACTGCAGCCTCCTAGAGTACTGGGATTACAGATGTTAGCCACTGGGCCTGGCCCACCTCCTTGCTTTTTTTAAAGACAGTCTCGCTGTCACCCAGGCTGGAGTGCAGTGATGTGATCTTGGCTCACTGCAACCTTCTGGGTTCAAGCAGTTCTCTGCCTCAGGCTCCCGAGTAGCTGGGATTACAGGTGTCTGCCACCGTGACTGGTTAATTTTTGTAGTTTTAGTAGAGATGAGGTTTCACCATCTTGGCCAGGCTGGTCTTGAACTCTGGACCCTCGTGATCCACCTGCCTCGGCCTCCCAGAGTGCTGAGACTACAGGCATGAGCCACTGCGCCTGGCCACCCCTTTGCATTTTAATCAATATGACTTCAATTTAAAAGTGGAACAAAAACTTCTACCATAGGACCAGTATTGGATTTAGCCTTGTTTCATTTACAAAACTATTTGTTGGCTGGGCACTTTGGGTGGCAGGTGGAGATCGAGATCATCCTGGCTAACATGATGAAACTCTGTCTCTACTAAAAGTACAAAAAAAAGCCCAGCTTGGTGGCACACGCCTGTAGTCCCAGCTACTTGGGAGGCTGAGGCAAGAGAATCACTTGAACCCCGGAGGTGGAGGTTGTGGTAAGCTGAGATCCCACCACCGCACTCCTGCCTGGGCGACAGAGCCAGACTCCATCTCAGAAACAAAAAAACGAAAAACAACTATTTGTCATTAAGTTGCTGTTTCTTCCTGCAAAGTTTCTAGATTCTTAGGGCCAAGGGTTGATTGTATTTGGTTCTTGGTAACGTGGACTGTGTCTTTCCTATCAGCGAACATTTTTTACTGTTAACTGTACAATGTCATTCTGAACTGTTATACATAAGGTTATAATTATAGGCCTGTTTCTATGGGACAGCCATATTCTGATTTGTAAACATCACTGAAATATGTTAAACACTTTTTTTTAACTTGTTTACATTGTGTTGGGTTAACTAAAAAATAAAAAAAAAGGTTTGAGCAATAAGACTAACAAAATTAATCTTTACTTCCCTTACCAGATTTCTTTAGATACAGTGTATTTTGACTTATTGTTGTTAGTGATTTTTGAAGAGTCCATCTCTAAAGTATGTACACTGAGTATAAAATGTGAGACTTTTTCCATTTAAAGTTGGGAAAAAATTTGGACCTCAGGTCAGCTTTGTAGCTGATAAACTAGGAATGAGGAAGATTCAGTTGTTGAGAGGGCAGATGTAAACTAAGGTATCAACAGTATTAAGCAAACATATTAACATGGCTGTTGTATGTAAGTTTCACATAAGTGCATATTATCTTATGTGGTCAGAGGATGCTGGGGACAGCTGTGCCGAAACCTGACATCATTAGTGGAACCTGAGATTGGGAATCAGGGTGGTAAAGGTAGAGGTGTGAATGTAAATGTACAGTTGTCTTTGGAGTGTTTGCCGTTGCTGCTGCATTTTTTTAGGGACATCGGGTTTTTAGGGAGGTCATGTCAGTACTCAATGTAGACTGCTTTTCTCACTGGGTAGACAACACAGTATCTGGAGAATAAAGCAACACTACCTAATGTCCTGCTTTTGTTCTGCTATTGTATTGAATCAGTTGCCCTATGAAATTGCACTTTGACAATTTTGTGTACATAGTTGTGTCCTTAAAAAGGCAGGGTTAGATAAGAACACCATATCAAATCTGTGCTGTAACTTGTATTTCTGAACCTTAGATTCATATATCCAGCTGCCCATTCAACATCTTTGCTGGAGTGTTTAATAACTCAAGCTTATTTCAAGCTCAGTGTTGCTAAAACAGAACTGGTCTCTCCTTCAAGTCTATTTTTTCCCAGGCTCCCATCTTGGTTGATGGCAAATTTCTGATTCCATTGCTTGTGTCAAAAGCCTTGTTTCTCCTTGATTCCTCTTATGCCCCACTTCTACTTCTCAGAAGATCCATTGGCTCTACCTTCAAAATATATCTGGACTCTGACCACTTCTCACTATTTTTGTCCAAACCATGATCCCCCTTGCTTTTGCCCTCCCTTACCCCTTGCTTTTGCTCTCCCTTACTGTCTACTGTCAACAGAGGAGCTGCTGGTTTTGTTTTTAAAAACTCTGCTCAGAACCCTCTAGTGATTGATTGCCTCTTTTACTTGGCTTAAAAGCTAGAGTCCCTCAAAAACTCTACAAGGTCATCTACATGCTTTGTATTGCTGATTTCAACTTGCCTCCACATAGTTTTGACCCTTAAACAACACAGGTCTGAACTGTGTGGGTCCACTATACATAAGTTTTCTACCAGCTCTGCCACC